TTACTTTTCAGGTAGGCTCATGTCTGGTCTTCGCAAGGATTCAGCAGCTTTTAACTGAAGTTCAGATGGAAGGTTTTTACAATGTCTTCGGCAATGTTCTAACACCTACGTTGCTATCTGATCTGACTAAACCTGAAGTTTTAGGATTCTTGCTCCGCTTCCTCTATCCTTTGGTGAGAGAGGTAGCCTTTTGAGCGATCGCGCCACAACGTTGCCCAAGGAAAGTTTTTCACGAATAAACCACCACTGTTCCACATGGTGATTACCGGTCTCATGACTATCGTGGGAAGCAAGTTCTGGCACGCCATAAATAAGGGTAGTGCTTAGATAATCCAGCTTGCTATGTCCATTCGTGATGTTTCTTTTCGATTGGCGCGTGCTCCAAGGGACCTCAGGATAGATGCGCACTTGCAGAGAGTAAAACGTTTTCTATATCAACGGCCGATTCCAGTGTTAATAATTCTGGGTTCGCCATAGTGTGCAGAGTTCGGATGACGAGTAACGCTCACTAGGTTTGTGGATTTGGCTAGTACGTTCATTAAAAGGCACAGTGAGTTCCAGTGGTCTCGGTCGGTAGACAACTTACCCTGCAATGTGATAGCGGTAGATTCGAGGACATTGGTGCACATAACAGTTAGAGGATTATTATTGAAACCCTTTTTTGTTGAACTGCAAGGTCGAGTAATCGTTGGCCATGGCTTTATGCCAAGTGATGAAGGTTCACCGTTTGTCGCTCCATTGGCGTTGCCGGTGTTTGCAACAGAGAAGACACTAAAGATAGCATTCCTAGGGACTTTTGCAACGATCTCTGCATATGTGGTTGGAGTCTCAGGAGATTTGAACTCGACCAGAGTTGCAGATGCAGTAGATTCGGGTTCGGCTGTCTCATCCTTGTAAATGATACAAGTTGTCAAGGCCGGCTGAATTTGATCGATCACGCACTTCGAGTGGTGCCTGATTTACGTGATCATGAGCACCGTTAGTCTATGAGAGCTATGGTCTGTTTTTGCTTGGCGTCCTTCCAAAATGAAGTAGAGAACGCAAAGGGGACCTTATCAATCGTGGTTCGAAGGAAGCAAATTTTGCACCAATCGTTCGCTTTGAAACCACTGTGTTATCATGGTGCATACTAGCTTTCAGTGATATAATCTAAATGTTCGTTCGTTGTTCAACTTCTTCTGTTAACCGCTCGCACTTTTGGACCAGAAGTATATAGTTGACTAGTGGGATGGCCGAACATGCAGTACAAAACCAGATATCGTTTTGGGAGCTGTTTCGAGCTCTCATGTGTTTTGGAGAGAGTTGAACATTTTGAATGGTACCATCTGAAACAGTGTATACACCGAATTTGATTAATCGGTTACATACAGCGAACCCACATTTACTCTTCGACTGAAGCTCTTTTGAATTCGCATCTACTTGCTTTCTGTTATTTGGCAGTGTTGCCACATTGCACATTATATATATATATATATATATATATATATATATATATATATATATATATATATATATATATATATATATATATATAATCACGATATGTGCAAAGATATTGTGCTATCGGAATCATGGCGGAACAGGGAAACGGGATCTGAGTAAAATAAGAAAGAAAACAAACAATTGTCCATTTTTCCATTCATAGTTTTTGAGTTTCTTTGATGCTTTTTATTGGAGGAGGGAAGGGGGATTCCCGTAACAAGCAGAGATACACGACCGCCAGTGATTTAGGTTTGAGCCATGACTTCCAATGTTTCCAACCTGCGGCACTCAGCATCTTTGTGACCCTATACTGGGAGTCAAGAGGAACCAACCAATGCCAGCTGTTTTGTCAGCTTTTTCATCCTGCTTCGCCAAGTGGTAGGCTGCCCACCACACCACCGCATCTAGCCCTGTCAAGCGACCGCGAACAAGGCACGACGCGGAAGACGCTGAACGGGCATACGTAGTACGTGTCCAAGCCATCCTTGTTAGCACAGCGAAACAAGCGTTTCGAGGGATTGGCTGCTTCCACCCAAGACACGCTGTCTGACTTCCACATTGGTTATGTGGTGCAGCCAACATATATGGGCGATAGACCACAAGCAATAGTTCTAGAAGACAGACAGTCAACACAGCTCATTGGTACGAGCAGACCAAGTCTCGCAACCGTACAGCGCGGACGACCGCAATTTAAACCCACCTTTTGATGGAGAGATGAATGTCATGACCGCACCAGAAATGCCATAGCCTGGAGAAGACGAGACGAGCTCTTGAGATGCGCATCAAAATCTCATTTCCAACAGCCCCACCAGCAGTGATGCAGATGCCCAGGTAGACAAAACTCTGTACAACTTCCAGCGTCTCAATATCGATGGCGAGTGCAAGTAGGGGCATATGGTAGTCTTGAAAAAGCGCTTTTCACTTGGATGGTGAAAAGTGCATACTATACTTCCACGCTTCAATCACCAGGCGATTAAGTGTAAGTTGGACGAAATGCGGACCGTCACTCAACAAGACGATATCATCAGCGTAATCCAAATCAACCACGTGACTACCTGAGAGGAGCTCAAAGACAGCATACAGCAAGCCTCCTAGAGCATTTTTGGGGACATCAATGTCAAAATTGAAGAGGAATGGAGAGATAGGGCATCCTTGTCGGATCCAACTGGTGACAATAAAGGAAGGCGAAAGCTTGCCACAATCCCTAACTCTACTCGAGGTCAGACTATACAGAACAGGCAATACGGAAAAGAACTTCCAAAGAACATTCTTTAACAGACAGTACCACAATGCAAGCCTGTCGACAGAATAGAAGGCAACACGGATATCCAGGAACAGAACAATCGTTGGCTATCGATATACATGGCAAAGCTCGAGAATCCGGCGGAGTGTGAAAATCTGATCGATGCAGCCGCGACCAGGGCGGAAGGAAATCTGTTCTTCTCACTGTAGTTATTCAATCGTTGGGGATAGCCTGTGTAGAATGATGGACACCAGGATCTTGCGAATGACGGGAACCTAACTTATACCCTAGTAATTGGAGCGCTTTGTGTGAATGCTTTTTTTGAACATGGGGACGACTATCTACTCACTTCAGGATGATGCAACCTCCCTTTTGCCCAGACTTCTGAGAAGAAAGCGGTGAGTTCTCAAACCAGCGAAGAGCCCCATCTTTGAATAAAGCAAGAGGTAGACCAACAGGGCCGGGTGCCTTATAACGCCTTAGGCAGCAGAATTCTCGCCACATTTCCTGATGAGAGGGAGGATCGGTGGGGATAGTCCACTCATCACCAGTGCCCGCCCCAGGGAAAGCAGATGGAGCTGGCGGCCAGTAAAACTTCGAGCGAAAAGGTTCCGCCCATCGCTCCAACCGTCGCTGAAGATTAGTGATTAGGGAGCCATCATATTCGTAGATTGTTTCGCTCATTCCAGATCGGAAGCCTTCGGTGACTCGGATGAGGTGGAACAGTTTTCTGGTACTACTAAATAGATTAGCAAGTTCCTTCCGTAAGCTCCTACGCAGCGCACGATCCAGGGATCGGGGTTCCTCACTACAGCTGGTGTCGGCCGAAGTTAAGCGGTGTCTGTCTATCAGGGACAAGGAAGCAGTGGTGATCCAGCTTTTCGGCGGGTGACAAGAAATTCCACAATTGACAGTATTGACAGAAATTAAAGCGTGTTTGATGCGCATCCATTACGAAAGCAGACCATTGTCAGAGGATGAAGCAAGCGGTGCTGCCAGAGTAGTCTAGTACTTGCCTAAGGTCGCAGGATGTTGCAGATTTCCGAAGTTCGGTCGATAGTGCGTAAGTCTGGGTGATAATCCGAAACGCATGTAAATCTTGGCGCGAACCGGTGCCTAATCGGAGTCCGGACAAGTTGACCAGTACGATCGGCAATATATTACGCTTCCGCGCCAAATGTAGTTTATTGCTACATGGTCAAGCTGGGATCACTCTTGCGTTTGAGAAGGCGGACGCCATGTAACAATCCGCCTTTTCGAATGCCGAAAATTGGTGCCTTATATTTCTGGTATGCATTCTTCGCCACATGTAGCATGGAAGTGAAACCGTAGGGCATCAACTCTGGATTATTAAGATTCTCAAAAGATGAGAGCATTATATCGCAGCGCAGACAGAATCAACAGCCCCTGGATTTAATCGCGATTCGAGGTTACTGTCAGGTGGATTTAATAAATAAGGTGTGATAAACGTACCGACTGAATAAGGACTGGTTCCGAATTAACGACAGTTCTAGCATAAAGTGCCTACCATCGGACAAATGGCATCCTTAAAAGGTTAAAATCAACGTGATTCAAGCCAAAGATCGGAAGAATGTTGTGACGTTATGAGGCTGTGTAGGAGGTAAGACTGCTCACCAATAAGTACTATTGAAGCTTCGATGTGATGCAAGTGTTAAGGGTTTGGAACGGTCAGAGGATGCTACCGTGGCAGGGAACGGAATCCGGGGTGTAAAAGGTTATAAATGGGACACTGGGACCGCTATAAAACGGATCCACCCAATCGGCACCGTAAAAAATCCGACGATGGCCGACCAAAGTGGAAGTGAATACAGAATACGACATCCGCAGTAAAGACGCAGAGTAAGAGGAATGCGTTTCAACAAAAGCAGTAATCAATTGAGAGAGAAGAGTGTCATTTCCTACTGGTGGGAACTACGACGATGCTGCCCAAAGCGTGTCCTTGGGGTGACCACTCCGTTAATTGTGCGGAGCGCAATTTAAGCAGTACGTGATCACAAGATGGAAGTTGTGATAACTTCCCTAAGAATAAAACAGGAGCACCAGATTGGTGAACGCATCAGCGACGGTGACAGAGTGATGTAGAAATTCGGTTTCCAATTTCTAACTCACTGGTTCAAATCCGCGTAGATTAGGGTGACCTCACAGTAGTCGAACGCATACGCGACTGTTAGCAATAGGGTGGCGGCGAAGCGTCGATAGGGGATCCGGTGCAATTCTGATGTATGGATGCCACAAATAGAATTTCTGATCAATTGAAAAATATCTGTTCAATTCGATTGAAAAAGTTACAACATATGTACACAACAGTGGTCACTGGTCAAATGATAACACCTAGGTGCCTAGCACAGGAGAAAGAGTGGGGGATATCACAGGAAATGTGCATATGGGGGAGCAAGAACCAGGGGATCGAATCACACACACACACACACATTGGCACATGGAACAGCCGGCTACAGAGACAATGCATCACGTCTTGTGAGCAGATGGCTCACGGTTCACTACGATCGCGTGGCCAGACTTGCCACATTCCATGAAGGCGCGTTCTGTCCACTGGTCCGAAACCGGATCGTACACCTCGATACTAGAGAGAAACTCGTTTCCATCGTAGCCACCTGTAAGGAAAGAGAGCCGAAGAACTGTGGGTTGGATGCCGTTACGATGGGTGAAAAAAAACGAAGACCATCCAGTTGAATGGTGTGACACACTTGCTTTAAGCCCTAGCATGTAAGCAGACGACGAGAAAGAAATGGAAAACTGTTACAATTCCAATATAGCTAGGGAGTGCAAAGCAGTTGACTTGAACAAACCAGCTTTGATCCAAGGGCAGCACATAAGTCATCATGTACCCGGCGTAAAAACGACGGTGACGGAGCTCCCACCACTTACCAAACACCCAAATCTCGTTGTCCAACACAGCGGCACTCAACGCCGACCGCGGATGCACCATGGGGGCCCGGTACTCCCAGCAATTGCGTTCCGGATCATACCGTTCCACAGTTCGGAGCTGACTGCAGGAATCGTATCCACCCACCGCGTAGACGTACTGGCCTAATGCGACGACACCTATGATGACAAGGAGAGGGAGAGAGGAACGTTGAAAGAGGGAGTGGGGCGGAGTGAGTGCAGATAGAGATTATAAGCGAATATAAAAAGCTGGTTTCAATACTTACGCTGGGTAGGACAGGTCCTATGAACTCATCGGTTAACGACGCAAGAGCTGTGGTTCGTAGAGTACCAACATCGATAGCAGCCGGAGATAATGATATAAGCAGCAAAAAGTCATCCGTCAGAGAGGGTTAAAATAACGCCAGCTCTACGAGTACCCGCTGGTTACATGGTTGGTGGCATCCGGTTCCGGATTTGCCTGTCACTGTGGCCAGCCACAGGACACCTGCGTCTACAGAGGGACCACGGGTGGTTTGCGCTGAACCACCCACAGCTCCAACCACGCACCCCATATCCAGTGTAAACCCGAAGGAATAAGACCGGGAGGCATGTGGATGGGAGCCACGTTTCATTAACGGAGCCACGGGCAAACACAAGGATGCTGTGTGGGGAATCAATCGCACACAAGACGGGTGGCTAGACCGTAGTCCGCTTCACACTGAGTAGATGGAACCACTCTTCGAGCCTAGCACGGCCACAAGGACTGTGCACCCCGTCCCCTCCAGCAACGACCAACTATCTCCTAGAGCCAGTATGAACGAGGTAGTGCGTAATAGAGAGGTAGGCACCTTGTCAACATGCACATCAAGCGCAGCCACACCGGGGATATCAAGCAACAGCCAATCACCTGGAACGACAAGATGAAATAAAACAAATCCAATAATGCATACAGATACGGTGGCATAACTCTTCGCTAAATTAGCATATGAAGTAAGTTGGTTAGCAACGAATCCACGATAAGGAAAAAATGTTCACAAGTTAGTTAAAAATGCTACAAACGCAACAAAGTTACCGAAGATAAGCGCAATTAATGTAAGCAACGTGGCCAGTTAATAGAAGAGTACTCAGGCAGGCAGAACAAATCAAATAAAGTGGAATGAAATTTAGCCAGCTTAAAAAAGACCTAGTTTAAGTGTAAGTTGGTTTAGCCCAACTGCGATGAAGAAGCATCATGAATGCAACATCAGCCTCAGCATGGTTACATACAAGCGTATAAATCGCTCGGTAACGGAGCCTCAAAACGAAAGGAAGTAAATAAGTCGTGCTGATGAGTACAGTGTTCTTGAGGGCGGTTGATAGTTCGGTAATTCCATTGGTCGGAGAACGCATGCGGTGTGGCGCAACCGCGAAGTGAACAACAGCGGGCATGTTCGACCTATTGTCGGCTAAACAACAACCTTCATACAATAAGGCTTATTCCTCTGTCCGGTTAGTTAAAATTCCTGTCTATTTCATGGGCATTTTCCTTTTCTCCTTCAATTAGTGGTGAATTTAAAGTGTTATGACGACGCAGATTATGGTAACTGCGTGTATGAAGCATCAATGCTTCTCAGCATTGAACTCAGGGTGGCTTCTTGCAACACTTGCACATCTGAGAATGGGGATGTACACTGGATTCGGAATTACATCCGGCCGGGAAGCAAATCCATCAGCCACTGTGCAATCCTAGTGTGTGTCTTGGGTAGTACATCCACTGAACACGATTGGATCCAAGTGTCGTGACGTTAAGTTCTATGGTGAAAGCGTACAAGGAAAATGATGCATACGGTATCCGGCGAACAGGGAAATACACCAGTTCGATCGCTTTGCACATAAACGATTGCCCAACGTGCTAAATCCTCCATGACTCAATCAGAATACTCAACTGACAGAGCAATGCTCGCTTACTGCAGTTTGCTAAAGCCTAAGCAATTCAGTGCCTCTAACGCATTTGGTGTGATCAGACCGAGTTTGTGGCTAGCCTAGCCTTGGGTTGATGACTGCGTCAGATGATTGATAGCCATTTTCTCACAACGGTAATGCAAACGGAAGGATGCCCATTTTGTAAATTTCCCACCAAAAAAAATCGTTCGGAGAGAAAAGTTGTAGCAGTATGTAGAGGTCTCCGGTTTGTTTCAGTACAATGTGTACAATTGTAATGGAACTTACTACTTTCGTTGCACACTTAGACGACCGATGGGAATGTGGACTGTCAGTTTAAGGCGTTATAGTAAACCGAAAAACCTGCCCATGGTCGAATCCATCGCACATCTACGATATCGCTGCTATTCCCGCTTCCCTAACCAGCACGATTCCCTGATCTCACAATAAGGTGGACACTTGTATGCGCACTATAAAAGCTTGTGTTTTCATGATTCCGTTCCTCTAGGATGCAATAAAATGCCCACGAATGCGATCTGGTCACATCAAGTGCATTAGAGCCACTGAATTGCTGAGGATTCGGCAAACTGCAGTAGGTGAGCATTGTTCTATCCGTTTTCTGATTGAGTCATGGGGGGTTTGGCACGTTGGGTAGTCGTTTATGTGCAAAGCGATCAAACTGGTGTATTTCCGTGTTCGCCGCATAAGGTGTGCGTCGTTTTCTGCGTGCGCATTCTTCCGTACGTAATCTTTGTGCATGATTTTTTCCGGTCACTGTGATATTCATATGGGGGAGTTGTCAGTACATACTTGGACACATGACAGCATTAGTCGATTGGGTAACCCAAACAGACAAATCATAGGAAATAAATGGAATTTCGAGGTCTATCAGAATTCAAATTACGGTAAATTCAGCATATTCAGTAATCTATGCAGTTTTCACAGCGCAAAAAGTATAAACCACTTCATTCTTGCATGACAAGATGCACTTAATCGAAAGAGACAGATGTACTGAGAGCGCAACCAGAAAGAGAACAATAGGATTCAAATGTGATCAGTCGGGCGGTTTTCCAAATGAAGGTCGGGTTAACTAACGTTGAACGGGAGAAGCCTTGCTCACAATTGATTTATTCAAAGCTGCGCCAGTGTTTTGGCACATTCCACACAACAAGTACATGTTTTCGACTCTTTAAAATGTGTCGACACTCATCTGACGCGATGCAGTAGAGGGTAGGGTGATAGGGATAAATGCCAGTATTTCTCAATAATTAACTACTTGTAGAAGTCAGTCGTCGCAGTCTTCATTTACACAGTCCTAAGAATATCGGGAAAAGCGATAGATGGCTGTTTCGTCCTACTGGAACGCAACTGCCACGCATATTCCCCTGAATCCTAAAGCAGCCGAACTCATGACTAATGAGACCGCTGTCAATAGGCCATGGGTGACGGCAGCGGACAAATTAGTGCAGCTAGTCTTTCAGTGTTATGCGTTGCGAGAATGTGCAGCGAAAAGAATTGGACCTAGAACCCCGACTTCCCTCGTAAGTCGCAACCAATATAAATGGCATGTAAGTGGCTAGGAACAGGATACTAGGATGAAGCGAATCTCCATTAAAATTAAAATAAAACCTATTCATTAATGTATATGCTTAGCTTATTTGTGTTAGCTCCGCCACCTACTTGGAGTCGATGAGTAGACCAAGATAAGTTGGGCAGCAGAACATCCACCGATTGGCACAACTGAGTCACATCATGGGTAAGGCAGCTAGTCAGTCCTGGTCCGGGCGTAATTCGGCGAATAGCAAAATACTGCAAGTAACTATCCAGCGCGGAAGCCCCAGGGGTCAAATGTAGGATATTTTACAAAGACCTCCGTCATCTTAATTGAAAGTCATCAATTGTGCTCGCGGGAGTCCAAGCTCAAAATCGGCATCAACTTGGAAAGAATAGGTATCAGCAGTAGGCTGGTTCGCAGTACCGACGGTTCTCTGCCATGCAAGCACCACCAGTCGCGCGTGGGTTAACGATACTGCGAGGGTAGCCCGATCCCTAAGCACGCTTGAACCCGCGACCTCCGGATTTCATAGCAGGCTCGTGATTGTTGCGGCCACGCAGCGAGATTCAACTAGGAGGAAACACTTCACGAGAAGCGATTGATAAGTAGTGAGGCGAAAGTGGTGCGGAGCAAGCATTGGAATCAAGGCCAGCCTAATCACCACGATCACCAACAACAACAACGGTAACAAGAAGAATGAGAACAACAGTGCACCATGACTTTGTGTCGGCGCCTCGTTGCAATATCCCTGGCAATGACGAAAGACGACCGCATTGATAAAAAATAGTGGGAAAGATCCGATTGGGGAGCAAAAGATACCCAGGTGAATATACAAGATCAAGGCATCAACATCTTTTCAACAACGCATTGTCGCGAAAAGCAGGATCCCGTGCACATACACAAGACTGCATCTGAAACGCAGCTTCGGTGTTGTTCACGAACCCAACACTTCTATTTAAACACACGATTCGACTAGGGTAGAACAACATTCGTGTCCACCCCATAGATTGTGCACCATGTCCCAACACATAGAGGCAAATACGTGACGTAGAATTATACTTACCCGAGATGTACAAACACGCATAAGAACAAGACGGTTCAGGCGTGTGCTGTTGACGCCGGGCAGCGTAAAATATGTCCGTACTTCGCATATGACATATGTAAATGGGATTAAAGAAGTAAATCAGAGTCTCAGTTAGAATTAGACGTCAGGATACAAAGACACAGTGGGTAGTCCGACCAGAAATCGGTCACGAATTGAAATTAATTCCTGACCAGGGTCACGAAGGTTGGAAACGCGAATTCATGACTCAGATGTTGAAGTATTTAGATGGCATTTGAAAGGCTAGATGACTGCTTATGGATTTGCCTGTCACTGTGGCCAGCCACGGGACACCTGCGCCTAAAGAGGGACCATGGGTGGCTTGCGCTGCACCACCCACGCACCCCATAGCCAGTGTAAACCCGAAGGAATAAGACCGGGACGCATGTGGATGGGAGCCACGTTACATCAACGCAACCGGACCGCACTCCTTCACAGGCAAACAATAGTATGCTGCATTTGGGGAATCAATCGCACACAATGCGGTGGCTGGACCGTAGTCCGCTCCACACTGCGTGCAAGGAACCACTCTATCATAATAACACGGCCACAAAAACCGTGCATCCCGTTCCCTCTATCAACGACCAACTGTCTTCAAGA